CTTTGTGCATCACCTACTAGCGTACCAAGTAAACGTCTGTTCAGTACAGCTGGAAATACCTTCAGTGAGACAAGAAGCTGCCTTAATGCTGACAACATAGAATGTTTTTTTTTTTTTTTTTGAAAGCTTCTGCCGCTTTCATGGATTACCTAAGCTGTCAGTGACAATTTACAAGTTTAGTTACTTGTAATAAAACTAAGAATGCTTTCATTCCTAGGTATTAGTTAGCACAGACTGACTAAGTGGAAAAATGGGCCTCAGTGTGAATAGTGGGAAGACAGAAGTAATGGTGGTATCAAAGAGAAAAAGTATTTCTAAATGTGTTATAAAATTCAATGGTTTAATTTTGGGACAAGTACAGAAATGTAAGCATCTGTGCACTTTGATAACATCAGATGGAAGACGCATTAAAAAGAAACAGAATAGGACAGGAAAAAAACTGCATTTTATAAAATGAAGAACATCTTTTGCAATATATCTTTGCCATTGAAGATTATAAAAAGAATTCTTGCTGGCTACAAACAGCCATTTTTAACACATGGCTGTAAGTCCTGGACAATCGGTAGGCAGGCCAAACAATTTCTTGAAGCCTCAGAGATATGATTTTACAGTGCAATGCTTAAAATACCTTGGACAGCAAAAAAAAAAAAAAAAAAGCAACCAAGAGGTTTTGATAGAGGCGGGAGCCCGAATACAACTACTCACAGACATCAGAAGGAGACAGTCATCATTTTTCGGCTATGTTATAAGATGAGGGAAAATGGAACATGTGGTGACCACTGGAAAGATATGTGGAAGTGGGGATAGAGGAAGACAACGAGAGAAGATTTTTGACAGTCTTGGTGCATGGCATGGAGGTGTGTCAGCACACGAACTAATACATGCCGCAGGAGATCGCAGATTGTAGCGAGGAATAATTGCCCTTGCCAGTCGGCAAAGCTCCTGATGATGATGATTCACTATTTATATTCGTATTCGGCCGAATAGTTGGTTCAGCTATTCGTATTCGGCCGAATAGTGAAAATCACTATTCGGTACAGCTCTAGTTCAAATGTTCCCTTTTTTCTTATGAAATCCAAATGTTGCATTTATCTTGCATGGTCCGAATGTTGCACACACACACACATGTACCCACCCATTCACCTACTTACACACACACACACACACACACACACACACACACACACACACACACACTCACACATTCGTGTAACATCGAAGTGTAAGCCCGTGAAGGCCACTTGAGACTGTTTACTTTCAGCACTGGGAATGCAAGTTACTCAACACGTTGTGGCAGTATTCACTCAACGCCAACTACATGTGGATTTTCGTGGAAGGACTGTACTTACATACACTAATTTTCTTTGCCATCTTCTCACACTCGACCAAGTTCTTCAAATTGTACATAATTATCGGCTGGGGTAAGTAGACTAAATATATTTCATTCGTTAAAAGGTGTTATTATAGAACCGTGTTGGGAAATGAGCAGACAGATAGACTGGCTGGCTCAGCACCAATTGGTGGTGAATTGATGTATGACAAGTTAGATTTTGTTAGGACCCTTTGGGAGCGAGGGAACAGTGCGGAGGCGCAGATAGATTATTACGGTCCAAGAAGAATGGCGCTGCGAGGAGTTACCAGGGGATCTGGCCGACGCTCAACACTCAGGGGAAGGATGAGACGGATATAGAATCAGACGATTGCTGGTACCATTGGCATTGAAACTCTTCGCTTGATGATGTAGATGGGGACTGAGCACTTATGGGAGTGTCCTGATGTCGATTCCTAATTCAACATTGTTATTATAGATCTAAGATTCAAGATTATTATAAGTACAATTTTGTATTATTGATTTTATTGTTTTGTGCCGAATGGCAAATAAATATGATAATATGTTAGAAATACTGTGAAAAATATAAACAATTAATTATAAATGTTATATACATGATTAAAAAGGACACTTAGACCCGTTGCAAATTAGCTGGATGGAAAGGGTTATCTGAGCCCACCCCTAACATTGGGGTGGGGAGAGCGAAAGGGGTCCGGAGCGGGGATCACTTAGCTCCTTCCCTCCAAAAAAAAAAAAAAAAAAATTCTAGAAGTTGGACATAGGCTGTCCAATATTGCCCTTCCCGAAAAGGGTGACTGATCAAAGCGACAAAAGTGTCCATTTAATTATTGCCCCCCCCCCCCCAACACACACATACATATTTCGAAATGAAATAAAAAAATTAAAGGACCCTTTTCCACGCCTTTATGCTATAGGGCAAATAGGGCTAGACCTATGTTTTAAAAGACCAATTGGCACAAGATGGGTGATGTGCTCAACATCACGCCGGCCGCCTTTACTTCGCGGGACTGCACCCGGTACCCACTCAAGGCTGGGTCGACCTAAGAGCCAAGGTCATTTTTGAAAAAGTCCGGCTCCGCCAGAGAGCGAACCCACGACCTTCTGATCCGCGGCGAGTGTCTAGCTGCTCCACCACGGGGACTCCCATGTTTCAAAATAACATGTTTAAATCCAAACCTATAACTGACAATGTTAGATGACATTCTGCTTTGATTTCCTAGTATTCCCGCTGATCTTCATCGTGTTCTGGGTGATTGCAAGAATATTCAAGAATAATACCTTGTGAGCTGCTTTATTTAGTCATCATTATCATCATCATCATCATCATCATCATTATCATCATCATTATCATCATCATTATCATATATGAACATCATCTTCATCATAATCATCATCACCATCATCATCACCATCATCATAATCAACTTACATGAACATCATTATCATTATAAAGTCAACTTACATTACCATCACCATCCTCATCCTCATCATCAACATCACCATTAACTTACACGAACATCATCATCATCAGTATTGTTATTTACATCAACATGATCATCATCATTATCATCATCAACACCACCACCAAGAACATCATCATTATTATCATCTGTACTATAATTAGAACAGCTGTAAGTTATTACGTGTCGGTCAACTCACTCACCAGACAAATGTGACAGTTCTCTGGGACACAGACAAAAACTAGACAGTACAAAGGACACGAAAGGGTAATTTATGATTAAAGAAGAGGAAAACAGTGACAACTGGCAATCGTGATGGAGGAAAACCAATAATAATAATAAAAAGAAATAAATAAATGCATGCATGGTTGGTCATATGCTGAACAGAACTGCAGTAACAATTCTGCTTCGAGGCTAATTTCTGGGGAAAAAAAAGTCGCCCTACGCCCCCCCCCCCTCTTCCCCTCTTCTCCCTTGTTTCAGCCATTGGAGCCTTTGAGGTTAATTTCTGCAGATATCATCCGCTTCTATTCATCTCTGTGATTGGCCTTCTCTGTTGAATAAGTTTTATAAGTGACTGTAAACATTTGTAGGTATGCCTCCAAATTCTTCTTAGTCTGCCTCGTGATCAGCAATCCTATTTTGTGCATGACATTTTTAGTCTCCCAATGTCAAATGTTGTACCAGGATCGCCCACCGTGTGATTTTTCGTTGCTGTTGTTTAAATCAGTGATTCATTGATTGTCTTTGCCTTTCATTGCAGGTGTTGGAACACGGATGACAAGAATTTGTACTGGATTCTCAATGCTCCCATAATATCATCAATATCGGTTTGTTGCTTGTTGAACTTGTGCCAATGTTTTTTCTTTTTAGTGTGTGGCAGTTTTTAATATATGGAATTTTAATCAAGTTTAGCATGAATGATAATGAGGATGATGACAATGAATGTGATGATCATGTCGACGAGCGTAAGGTGTAATGCTGTCGCAATCTCACACACTCACTAGAATCACGGATCAGGTCAGTGTTCTGGTCTAGCTCCATCTATAGGTCCAAGCCGTGCACTATTGATCTCTTTGCCTTCCCCTTGGCATCTTTCCGTCAATCTTGCCAGCCGTTATCATGTTCTCGAGTTAATTGCTACTCATAACGAGCACGAAAAACACTGAATATATTATGTCTACTGCTAAATATTTGTAAGCTGTTAAGTCATCATTATGGACGACAGTTTTAAACGCTAGCATTGACAAAATGTTCTGGCAGATAAACTACATCAAATAGAAATCAAATATAAACCAGAGCCAGAGCTTCTTACAACACTACATCATCATCACAAACATCGACACCATTTATCATAACACTACTGTCTTTGCTGTATATATATATATATATATATATATATATATATATATATATATATATATATATATATATATATATATATATATATATATAAAACTGGGGGTACATCTATATATAAACATATATACATACATATACCACTTTTTAGGGCGGTGTAGGACAATGAACGGAAGGTTGGTGAAGTCTTGAAGATTTATTTAGGGCCGCATAGCCAGGGCTGTCGCAATAACTTTCCAGAGGCTTTGACTCTTTACTGGCGACGACAATAATCTTTAACGAAACCTACGGTGAAACTCTGGCGACCCGCCATAAGCCCCAGCGTTCTTTACCGGTCGGCTAGTCGTGTCTCACTTAACCTATCAAATGTGATTCATTATTAGTATGATGGTTCACAAAAGAATTGTAATGGGAAATTTATCATGTGCAGCGCCTTATATTTCATTTACCATTCAGAGCCTTACATAAGTAAGTTCTACATGTTTTGGGACCGGTAAAAGCGCTCACATCGTGAAACATATAACACACGATATTGATGTCCGGTGTCAACAACGAGTAAAATACTACGTGCTGCTGACCGGTCACTAAGCGTGACACCCCTGCAACATAGGACAGGCCCAGTGACACGACGGTGCATGAATGGGAAGGGAAGCGATTTACAAGTACAGTCTTTTCCTTAGCGTTCACCAGCTGTAAACTTTGGCGGAAATTTCCGTCGATCGTCTACTTCTGGACTCTGGTCTTGTTCCAGAATTTTAGGTTTTTAAAGATCTGGCCATTTTTTTCAAGGCGGCTTTTGGCTTCTCGATTCTCAGGCATTGCACTCTGACTTTAAAATAAACACACCTAATTAGTTGCCTTTTAAAATATGCTTTGTTGTGTGTGTGTGTGTGTGGAAGGGAGGATGGTGGGGGGGGGGGGGGACTCCTTTTTAACCCCCCCCCCCCCCAAAAAAAAAAAAACAGCTGAACCCACACATTTAGCCAGTTCAGTGACACGTGACAGATTTATCGGTAATTCCATTACAGTACTTAACTTTAATTTACATTATATCCACAAGAAGCCTAGTTAGCAAAGGCATTTGGTAACTCATCCAGGTCACATGATACAAACTGAAAACTATTGGAGTATGCAGTCTAGTCCAGCAATCATGGCCTCTCTTTTCAGTGTTCGTCTTTTGGCTGACCTAGCCTTCTCAGTCCATGTATTTCCCATTTCAGTGACAGAACTGTACGGTCAGAAAAAAAATAGTTTAAAAACAACAACAACAACAACAACAACATCCACCGCACAGTTATTTTGAAAATACTGCGAAAAACTGTCGATGACCCATATCCCATTGAACTGTCAACTGACTGGCTGAACACTAAATATTGTTGAGTAGAATTTTATCACTCATTAAATTACAAAGGTTTTAAATGTGCAAAATTATGGTATACTGTTGATTAATGTTAAATGAATACTGCTACTTTTCAAATGGCTACCCGGTAATAGTAACTTTTTTTTTTCGGCCCAGAAAGTGAGTGTATTCACTTCACATTCATGTGTCGTCGTGTCACAGGGCCTGTCCTATGTTGAGGAAGTGTCACGCTTAGTGACAGGCCAGCAACACGTAGTAGTTTACTCGTGTTTTACTGTATTCCACAATGTGAGCGCTTTTAACGGTCCTAGAACACGTAGAACTGGCCCTAACTCCAAACCCCCTACTTCACAGCCTCAGCCCACGTCCCAGGACTGCATGCAGCGTATATTATAGGCTGCATACAGTCGGGGGAATACAGGCTGCACTCTCTCGTGGGACGTAGGCTGAGGTTGTGGGGTAGGCGGTTAGTATTAGGGCCAGTTTTACATGTCCTGGGACCGGTAAAAGAACTCACATCGTGGAACACGCGATATCGCCGGCCAGTGACAACAACGAGTAAAGATACTACGTGACATCCGTGACATCCACGCATAATAGGACAGGCCATGAGACACGCAAGGCATGTATGGGAAAGTAAGTCACTTTTTTTCTGGGCCGGAAAACATTACAAGCACCTGCTACCGTTATAATAAGTAGAATATTGTATTTTTAAATTTCAGGTGAACTTTTTCTTCTTCCTAAACATTATTCGAGTGCTCTTTACAAAAATCCGAGACTGCAACACCAGAGATCCTAGACGTTACAGGTAAGTCTTGCTTCAATTTCCTTCATTATATTACACAGCTTTTTCAAAATTATTTCATGTAAAGTGTATGTGGAGTTCGGCGTCTGAGACAAAACTATCTCTTGTTAAAGCAAATTTAGTTGATCTGCATGTATTGCTCAGATCTTTTCCGTTATGTTTCCTTTTCTATTTAGAAGATAAATAAAATTGCATTTAATGGTTTATAATTTTTTTAGGGAGCACCAGTGCTGTCGCAACTCATGGGCCCGTCAACTATTCCTGCCTCGTGCACTTTCCTAACCAACACACACACACACAGACGCACACACACACACACACACAGACACACACACACAAACACTGATTAGTCTTAATCTTAATCTAGGTTTCAACTTACCTACAATCCGATCACCCTATGCTTGCTACGTTTCTTCTTAGTGCAAATCAAATAAAATGTCCCCCACTGTCTGTCTCATTTGGAAATGATCAAACAATTAGTTCTGGAACAATCGAGAAATATCTAAACACAGTAAATTCAAATGCCAGTTGTTAGAGGCGCCAAAGCCAACAGTCGCAACCAGAAATGAAGTTTATCGTTGAAAGGAGTAGTCGAACACGATAAGTTGGCTATACACATGTAGAATTATTACATAAGGTATTTCACCAGCTTACATTTAATTTGGCTACCAGCCATATTGAATATCACGACACAATCGCTGCACAAATGAAAGACATTCCATATGAAAAACACAGCTCACAGGGCTGCACCAAGCATTAGACAGTAGCTCAGGCAGCGAAACGGTAGACTGCCGTCCATATGTGAAAGCTGCAATAGCAAAGCGCTGTCGAAAGCAAAGAAAAACGTCGAAGCTTAACATTCTGCCATGCCTGATCCTCCACTTTAGACCGCATTGTTTTGTTTCAGGAAGCTAGCCAAGTCTACACTGGTATTGATTCCTCTGTTTGGTGTCTATTACATTTTGTTCATCCTGCTAAGCTTGAACCGCGAGCCCAGGGTGTCAGTCATTCATATGTACATGGAGATGACCCTCAATTCCTTCCAGGTAACGGGCGTTTTGTTGCATTCTGAAATAGTTAGCTGGAATTTCTCATTTAGTTGAGCAGGCGTGGTGAAGTGCTAAATGCCCACCTGCGGATCTGAAGATATTGGGCTCAAATATGCATGCAGCCTGTCCCCCACCCCACCCCATACATGACCTTGGCTTCCAGGTAGGTCAAGACTTAAACTAGTACTATGTAAAGTCTTGGGAAATGAAGGCGGCCGGTGTGATGTTGACTACATCACCAATTGATCTATAGCACCATTTCTAGCCTTATATGCCCAAAATGCGTTAAAAAAAAGAGACTTTTACTTTGCTAACTTGTTTAGTTGATTGTTACGAGACTTTGACTCTTTTAGAATGACGTCCCATGTACGTTAATAAATAACCCAATGTCTTTTTATGTGTATTATCTATGTGTATGTATCTTTAGAACCAGAATTCTTTCTGTGTTTTATCTTATCTGTTCCTCGAAAAAAGTGTGTGTAAAGAGGGGGGGGGGGGGGGGGGGTGGGAAGGGACGGACACTGTATTGGTTTTAATGTTTGTTTTTATAATGATGCTGATGATACCAATAATAACACTAACAATAATCACCACCATCATCATCTGCACTGATATTATGTTTTCTAATTTCAGGGAACCGTTGTTGCTTTGCTATTCTGTTTTCTGAACGGCGAGGTAAATTTGTGAGTTTTTCACTGTTCATAAATTCGATTCACTGTTCACATAAACAATAGTCAGAGTTAATTGCACTTGATGGTTTATTTGAAACTCCCACAAGTAGATGTACTGACTTGGGAATATTGGAATTCATCAGTTATTGATACTGAAATGGGAATCTTAAAAAAAAAAAAAAAAAAAAAAACAAACAGACATTTTAATCCAAGAATACATAACAGAACAAAGCAGTGTAACTTCATTGGAATGGGAGCACTATTCAGCATTTCTAGATGGAAGTATAACAATGATGACGAATCAATGGTGACCACCCACTTGACGTCAAAAATCTCCTACTGAATTGTTAAAGATAGAGGGCGAGTCTAAATTTCATGTTTTTAAGCTCCTAGCAAGTTACAACCGGGGCACCCGTGACGGCCACACGAAGTCACGTTAGGATGTAGATTAGTGTAACTGACGGCATCATTTGTCTTGCCACGTTGTGAGAGTAAAAAAAAAAAAAAAACGTAGAACATTTTGGCGCATCTGGAGAGATCGGTGGAGAGAAGGATTGAGTGAAGTTGTAACTCACCAGGACTGCACACTGTACAATTAACACTCAGTGTCACAAGTGCAAAGTGTCACTGTTGGGATGAGGACCCATCAGATGTAAATCCCGGTAACCCAGTTCAACAGTGAAGTAATACTATGGCTTCTGACGATTATGAAGTAATCTAGTCCAGACAGGGTAGGGTGACATAGGAAGAATAATGGAAAGATAGCATCAACAGGTCCTCAACAGGTTTTGTCAAGGTATAAATAATTGCCAAGGCAAATACTTGTCAGCACGCACACAGTGATCTATACTGATGGACAACGTTTAATTAGACAGCACGCGATGATGGTGATGGGTCTTGGAGCAAGCGGAGATGCATGGATACCAAATGTGGTCTATTGCCGTGTAGACTCTAATATAAGGGAGACAACTGTCCTTGTAGTCGTCATGGTTACCAATACTCTCCCTTATTCTATTAGTCATTTTTTTTAAAGATTGCAAAGAATTTGAGGCCCAATGCGCAAAATGGGTTTATTAGAGAAACATCAAATTTTCAGAATTTGTGGCCGAAATATCCAAAAGGATTTGGTAGTAAATCAACATATTACCCTAAACCTTCTGCTTCGTGTTATCAAGGTATGGCAAAAAAAAAAAAAAAAACACATTTCTATTGTAATATTGTTTCACACTGATAATTGATTGCGATTGACCTTTGAATGTAAAAGTACCCGACTATATCTCATAACTCATGAGAGGTTGATTGTATTGTCTCCGATCTCGGCCTCGAAGCCGGCGTAGACGCGCTTCAGTATACTTTACTCCCATGTCACGCAATCGTGTTATGTGGTGGAAGGGGCGTTCTGAGATTTGCTCCTCTGTGTTTCTTAGCCTGGAGGTTTTTAACATTCCGTCAGCAGTCCTGGAGAAAAAGGAAGGGGAAAGGGGGGGGGGGAGGGGGGACGTTAAGGAGGGGTACCAGTCAGGTATCTTGAGCAGAACATGAAACAAATCTTTACATACCTTATGATGTTCTGTTAGGCAACTTCTTTGAAAATAATCAGAACAGAAGCTAACTTAATAAAACAAAGAACTGACGTAAGAGTAACCAAAGGAAAGACACACGAGGACACAGACAAACGTTTCGAGCACAGTCTTTTAAAATAAAATCAAACAACAGAATAAAAACATTAGAGACAGCGAATCCTTGCGGCGAGAGACACGAAATGGATGAACTGTCCATATTAGTTCACGTTCATTGTTGTGGCGCTATATTATAGTTCTATTTATAACTAAGGCTCTGTGGCTAAGTCGATACAAACGCTTTGTAATGCCAGGATGCCTGGTTCGATCCCAACTACAGGCCATGTGCCTTGCGTTGGTTTCGATAGTGGTATCAAGAAAGCCGACCGTCCAGTAAGCAATGGCAAACTACAGGAAGTAAATTTGCCTAGAAAAACCACACAACAGCCAGGGGCTGTTGGGTTCGGTTCTGCAACGTCCTGTAAAGGATACGCAACTAACCTTTAAATAAAAAACTGTATAGCTTAAGACTGGTCGAAACAGTCGGTTGTAACTATAAGCATTTTTACATTGTCTGGCTCACTTCGCTATCTGTATTAAAAAAAAAAGTTAGTGGCGTTTCCTTTGCAGAACAAACACCAACGTTTGTTTAGCTGTTGTGGTTTTTCTAGGCAAATTTTTATGTTCAGTAAGTTGCCTTTGTTGTGTGAACTTTCAGATCTCGGTACCACTCTCGAAACCAGCGCAAGCCAAACAGTCCCCAACTGCTGGGATCGAACCCGGCACTCCCGCATTATGAAGCGTTTTTGCACCGCCTAAGCCACATATATCTATATAAGCTTTACTTAAATCGACCTATAATGGCGGCAGGATTTGAGAGATAGCACACTGAGGCACACAGTAAGGACTGATTATTTTCAATACTGTGGTCACCAATCACATGCTGCACAATTTATTGCCTGACATTGTCCTCTGTACCGAGTCATGTTCATTGATATATTTACATCAGTGTGTAATCAATAATAAAAAATGAGCATGTTTAACAGGAATACACAATTTACAATGTCTCTTGCACTGTACATTTCACAATGGAAGTCTAATATTAATCATGTAATCATCTTACTTAACACGGAATTGTCTGTTTGAATTTTTACTACTTTAATTAGATTTACTGAAATATCATCACCTTCAACATCAGTCATGCCGTTAATCGTTGTGGGGAAGAATAGTAACATTAGCTATTGTCATTCCGTGCTGATGCAGAAGCTCTTTATTGTCATCAATCCATATTTTCCTTGGGCGGCCTCTTGCTTTCACTGCCGATCTTTTCATGTGTAGCGCCTGCATTAGTTGTTGCCTTGGCTGCATTCTTACTAAGTGACCAAACCATTTGATCTTCTGTTTCTCAATGAATCTGCTGCATGGCGTTGTTCCTACATGAGGTCTGACAATATCATTTCTGTCTTTGTCTTGGATGCTTAAGTCGGCCGCTGTTTGTAGGCATCTCATTTTACAGCTGTTAATTTTACGTAGGTTAGCCTTTGATAATGTCAAAGTCTGGCACTGGTAGAACAATGTTGGCATGAATATGCTGTTTATAATCTGTTTCTTGACGTTGATCCTTATGTTCAGATGTCTTTATAACAGTGTCAGTTGGTATATAAGTGTACTGGCTCGCTGGCATCTTGTTTCTATTTCTCGATCTATTTCCTTCGTCCTCCGAGAATATACTTCATAGATATTTGAATTCTTCAACTTGCTTCAGACAAGTACCATTCATATTTAGTGGACTAAGAATTACTACTAACCTGCATTACTTCAGTTTCAGTAGTATTTATGTTCATGTTATAGCTTCTGCATGTTGAACTTAGCCTGTTCAACTGTTCCTACAGTCTTCTCCTTTCACTGTAGAACAGGCACTGATCGCCTTTAGTACTGAAATATGCCAGACAGTTATTCCGCCGTCTATTGTATGCGTTTTCATCATTTATTTTCACAACGGGAAAAATTGATTTGGTGTCAATAATTAGTCCTTCAACCATATTTTGCTTTCAAACCTGACTGTCTCCCAGGTCGACCAAGCCTTAAATATGTAACAGGTAAAAGTCATGAGAAGTAAAGGCGGCCGGCGTGATTCTGACCCTATTCCTCACCACGTTAAGTTTGGTCTATAAACATATATATAGCTCTATTTGCCCATACGGAAAGTGGTCCATTTTACTTTTGATTTGTACTTTATGTCATTTTAGAATCATATCCGTGTTTTGGTTACATATTTTACACAGGTTTGTCAGTAACATTTAAATAATCTCATTCTGTTTTTTTATCTAAGGTTCGCAGTGAGATCAAGAAGAAATGGCATCGGCATTGGTTGCGAAGGCAGAGCGTTGTGTCCTCTCGTTCCTCGAGAGCCTTTTCAACCGCCTCTTCTTACCTCGGCAAGGAACGAGCTAGTCTCACTCAAGGGTTTCCTCTGTGTGATTTTTCATGTAAAGACAATGTAGCAAATATGTGTTATTCTTCAAACAACGGCCATGCGTTTCACAAAGTATCCAGCATGCCAAAGTTATCCCTGGAATCTCGTTCAGGTTTCAAACCCATACCAAGAGTATCTAGCTCGTCCGAAGTGGCATCCATCTTTACCCAGAATGCCATCGATCAGTCTCTCAACCCTTCATTTACATTTTTGAAAGAACAGCTGCAGGAGTCTGAGGATGAAACATTTTCTAACGGCTGTTTGTTAGAATCTCCAGAAAATTTACCAGAACTCATATTGTCTGATATTAATGCAGACTCAAGTACGGACGTCTACGAAAACACAGACTTTGCTTCGTCTTTGTTGTACTTTCAGCCCTCGGGAAAAGACACGAACTGTTTTAAAGTCAGTGGACCGACAAATCAAGTAGATCCAAATGTCCCCAGGTGTCAGGTATAAATGAATTATCACACCGGGACATTGTAGACTATGACATAGAAATTCAGAAGTTTTTTAAAAAGGAAGATAATATAATTTACTCGTAATTATATAAATGTATGGTGGATTTTTCACGGTTTGTTGTAGTGGCTTTTGTATTCGAATTTTAAAGAACCATCCTTATAATACGGTGGATTTTCCGTGAAAGAAATATCACTGTTCTATGTGATCTGTTCATGGGAAAAAATCTGGCTCAAACGCATCTGATCTGGCATCGCGTCCTGGAAACTGACATATAAAGCACCACTGCAATCATAACCCGCTCACATCAGGCTGTAGATCCCTTCTGAAGCTTAGGGTAACCCATACTAATTGTGTTATACGGTAGAACTGGGTTTTGGGATTGAAAAAAAAAAAAAAAAAAACACTTAAGCGTAGGGTAAGTAAAAAAAAAATGTAAAGATCCCTTTACACGCCCTTAGGCGCATCATGCATATGGGAAGAGCACCCATATTTTTACAGACCAATCAGCACTCGGTGGGTAATGTGGTCAGCATTATGCCAACCGTCTTTACTTTCCCAGGACAGCCCATCCTGGTACCCATTTGAGGCTGGGTCGACCTGCGACGTCCCATACCACGCAGCCCACGTAGGTTTCGATCGCGGTACGTTGGATTACGAGTCAGACTCTCAACGCCATAGCCACGGACGCCGCAGCGTAGGGTACCTCATACTAATTGTGTTATACGGTAGAACTGGGTTTTGGGATTAAAAAAAAAATAAAATAAATAAACATGTAATTTTATCTGTTTGTATTCTTTAGTTAGTCGGCTTAGGCATTGCGAACGCGCTTCCTAATGCCGGGGTGCCGGGTTCGATCCCTGCTGTTTGTCTCGCGCTGGTTTCGAAAGTGGTATTGAGAGCCGACCGCCCAAGAAGCAATGACAAACTACTGAACGTAAATTTGCATAGAAAAACCACAACAGCCAGAAAGTGCTAGGGTTTGTTCAGCAACTACCTGTAAAGGATAGGCAACACATTGTGAAATTCTTTAGTTACTGTATTGACAAGGCTTTGCCAGCGACGTCCATAATTGTGATAACCCGCTACATAATCACGATATTAAAATAGACTATAAATAAAACCAGTCATAATGTGTTTGTACAACAGTGGAGATGATATACTTACCTTTTAACAGATATGGGCGTTATTATGATCAGTTCATCGACTCTCACATCTGATTTAAATTCAGCTATCTCTTACTTATGACACCAACAGCCACGAGTATCGCAGAACCGTGTCCTCTTTTCGTCTGAAAAGAGGCCGCTCCTGGATGGCCAAGGCTGAAGATTCAATCCAGTAGGTATGTGATCTAGACGAGATCAGTCACGGAAAAGAATGGATGCTTACACAAGAAGAAACTGATGGCATCTCTAATGCTATCATCACACCGGGAAGGTAGTGCAGGGATCCGATTCTTGCAGCTGTACACAGGACGTGCACGTGAAAGAGCATCTAACGAAGGGGATTAACATGGATAAGAAGATAAAAAGAGAAGAGTAAAGTATTCAGACAGGTGGGAAACACCCTGATGATGACTTATAAGTAGCAGGGACTGATTAGGTAAAGCATTTTTGTGAAAGCCAGCTTAGTCAATTACAATTTTTCGCGATTTTCTCAAAATCACTTTTTTAAATTATTTTTTTGGGTTTGTTACTGCGTTGTGCAGCAATATCTCACAAAGTTATTAACAAATTGTCTCTTAACTTAGCACACAAATGGGAAAATGACATTGCAATACTATAATGAATACAGCGACGTTATGAGGTTTTGTCATCTATGATAACCCTTACCTGCAATATTTTGGAGAAAAAACATTTTGTACCACATAAAAAAGCATAACTTTTAAACCATAGCGTTAAGTGAATAGTGTTTAGTGCATACAGGTTGACATGTAATGTTAAATTTTTATGCACATTTTCATTAAGCCATCTTTATTAGTTTTTGAAATATCTTGATAAATATTGTTGAATACAAATTTTGTAATTTCCGCATAAAATATGACATTTGCAATCAATTTCTGTGAAAATATGTTAATTTTAGCCACTAAAAGTAATTTTCCTTTCTTTAACTAGTATATACCTCCAGAAGGCATTGTTTGCAGCAGATAATATTCATTTCAATTTTGGGCTTTAACTTGTCCTTAACTGACGCTTTTATTGTTGTCTTGTATGCTTTGAATTTGCAGGAACTGCTGTAGGATGGATTATATTATTGTTAACTGCCTGCACATTCTAAAGTTAAGTCCCACAGCTCTGATTGAATATGTGTGTGTGTGTGTCTGTGTGCGTGTGAATAAATAGAGAGAGAGAGAGAGAGAGAGAGAGAGAGAGAGAGAGAGAGAGAGAGAGAGAGAGAGAGAGACAGAGATAGAGGAAAAGGGACAGAGAGAGAAAGAACAAGTTAACTTTTTTTTTAAATAAAAAGAGGACAGGCGTAAAAGAGAGAGAGAGAGAGAGAATGAGAGAGATAAGAGAGAGAGAGAGAGAGAGAGAGAGAGAGAGAAAGAGAGAGAGAGAGAAGATGAGAGAGAGAGAGAAGAGAGATAAAATTATTAGAGCTCCATGAATTAATAACATCTCGTTAACTACTACTACTACTACTACTACTACTACTACTACTACTACTACTACTACTACTACTACTACTACTACTACTACTACTACTACTACTACTACTACTACTACTACTACTACTACTACTATTACAACAACAACAACAACAACAACAACAACAACTACTACTACTACTACTGCTACTGCCACTGCTAGAACAAGCAGTAATCCTTTAACCACTAATACAGCTGACTATTTCTTCAACAGGAACAACAATAATTATTACTCACGTGATAACTCCTACTCTTCCTCCTCCTACTACTATCACTTTTGTTGTTGCTGATTATGCTACTTCAGTCAGTCAGAAAGTCCTTTGCAGAAAGTCTCGCTCTCTTCACGGCAGATCTGATAGCCGCTCTTGCTTTAGTCAGTTCTCTAGCTGGACTTGTGTGTGGTGTGTGTATGTGTGTGTGTGTTAAAATGTGATATTGGTTCCCCAGCCGACCCTGCTTTAAATGGGTACCACGTAAAGTTCTGGGAGGTAAAGCCGGCCGGCGTAATGCTGACATCACCCACCAAATGCTGATATCTTTATCAAATATAGTTTTAGCCCTATATGTCCAGTAGTCTAAAGTCGTGGAGAAGGGTCCTTTAATTTTATATAAATGTGTATAAATATTATGTTTTGTGTGTGTGTGTGTGTGTAAAATGGGCTGAATGGCAAATTAATAGACAAATTAATTTAATATATTTGAAATTTTAGGAAAGATAGAAATAAATACATATAAAGAGAAATTCAGTACTTGGTTTATTGTTAGCTGAGTTCTCTTGTACATTGATTATTAGCTTACCTCCCATCTCCTCCACCCCACCCACCAAGTTTTTTTTCGTGTGTGTGTAAAAGGGTTGGGGTGAGAGGGGGTGGTGGTGGTTGGGGGGGGGGGGGAATTTACAGATCTCCCACATTCCGGTTGAGGATGTGGATTGATCTCACTGGGTCACTGGTTTGATTTCACAGTTCACACAAGCTGTGTTTAAGAAAGTGCACGTCGGGAGTTTGACAGTACCAAGACACGCTGCAGTCTTTGCTCATGTACAATTCTGTTCCTGAAAGGATCTCCAAAAGTTAATCAACTTTTGTGTAAACATGAGACTGCTGTCAAAAAAGTGGGTATATAACAAGTTCTTGCAATGAAATCATGAAGTTTTATCACTCAGAGCACGCTCAGCCAGAGAGCCTCATTCTCATGATAGATACTACCACGTAACGAAAGCGGCAAATGGCCGTTATACGAATGCTAATTTTACCCAAACTCGAATAATTAATGAATAATAGAATCAGTGCTAGCGGGTGTAGATTTCGCAGGTTTAAACTCTTTGCACAACCCCATGTGGGTTCCGGGATCCCATTGTGGGTCGGTGGGGTGGGGGGGGGGGAACAAGAATAGACCCACTGCCTTCCCAACATGCAAATCGTGAGAGTTTGGTAGTTCCTTCGAAGTCAGAGTGCTTCTGTTGATGTCGAGTAGCCGAGGGCTTCCTTCGAAGTTGGAATGCATGTGCTGGATCGGCAAATAACCAAAAGCTAGTAAAACGTGTATGTACACAGAACCTTGGCATCAAGCCAAAGTCCAAACAGACGAACAAGCATAACTTTTCGCTGTAGGCTGCAGCCGGTAAATAAAGAAGAAAAAGAACTCTTTGCATATCACTTCATATTAAAATAACATTGATGTTTAAATTGTATTTTCTACTGTCATGGCTGTTACAAGATCATTATAATTATCCATCAGGCAGAATGTGCCAAGGAAATTTTTTTTAAATCCTCTTCTTCTCCGCTCACCCTTAAGGGAATATCGTGTTGTGCTTTACAGCTAGACTGCGATATTTGCTCCTTTCTGCCCAACGCACCAGATTTCAGCAGATCTCTAATTATTCGCCTTTTAAATCACGCTTGCTGAGATGCCGCAGTGGGCTTATTTTTTTGGAAAAATAGACCTGGAAACTCACACAGGGTCTATTCCGTTTTGTAATAGGGACTATTGAGGTGTTTATATTATTACATCGCTTTTTAATTTGAGTTCATGAATTTTTCACCATTTTTATTCGAATGGTGGGACATTTGCTGTATGCTTTTGGTAGTTTTCCTACTGTCACTGAAATTTGCTAGAATTAAAATACCATAATAAGGTCGGAAGTGGTGTGTGTACGTGTGTGTGTGTGTGTGTGTGTGTGTGTGTGTGTGTGTGTGTGTGTGTGAAGGAAGGGCGAATAACTTCTTTTTAAAACAGTTTAAAGTACTTTAATTTTAATCGACCACATCTCGTCGGTTCAAGATTTGGTAAGGAAATCCCCAAAGGTCCATGTCACGGAGTCAATCAACCAAACCCTACACGGTAGACTAGT